TAAATATCTTCATTCCATTTTTTTTGAAAGGGACTCTAAATGGTTTTGAAAGACTTCAGCTTCCCATAAAAAAATTAAAATCTACTTCATTATATTACCTGTTAAGTCCAATTCTAATGAAATGTGTACATCACTTTTGAGGGACTACTTCTAGGCTATATTCCACACATACACAAGAATAAATGCCAATTCCTACACAAGTTCCTAATATTTTCTTTTACCTTTCTAAGTGAGTTCTGACCAGCTCTGAATTGCTCCAGAATGAAATGTTTATTGGTCAGGTGGAAAAGCTAACGTACTACAATGCACTTCAAAGACACTACTTCCTGACTTCTAAGAAAATTTCCTAATTGTCCAGGAAAAAATAGAGAAGTTCCTGATCAAGTTATTCCATCTGCTTAATAATAAAAAAATGTAATTTTGATACTTCAATCTCATTTCCACTAGATAAGAAAAAAAGTCTCATATTTACTTCTTTGATTGAAACCACATGCACTAGGAGGGAAAAAACATTTCAGTCTCTGCATGTTTATGCCTAGCTGAGTTTAGGATAGGCTACACTGGTTGCCTGAATATGAAGAAACATTTGCTCAGTTTACCGAGTTGCAATCCAAATTCCTAGAAAGCTAATTGTAAATACTCAAAGGCAGCAAATCTTTGTAAGATGTTTTTGAAACTTACTTGGGCTTTTTGTTTAAGAAGAGTTGTAGGTTGTGCTTCAGGATCCAGGATAGAAATTATTTCATTGACTTTTTCAAGAGATTCATAAAAGTGTGTGATTTGTTTCTCCAGTTCTTCCAGTGGAGACAGCAGACGCTGGCATTCATACAGCAAGGCACAAGAATACTCCTTAACCTTTGGCCATTTTAAAGAAAAATATTTAGAAAGTTGTAAAATTCAATAAATAGCAGCTTCCTCTGCATGTTGGTTTATACAGTTGCTACTTGCCTCTTTTAACATAGATCAACCCTGATTCTGTATTACTTCTTAAAGTGAAGAATATTAAATTTAAGGATAGTAGTCTTAAAGTCTAAAAGAAGTAACATTTTCTCCACCCTGAATTCAATCTATAAATAGATATTTGCTCAAATGCGTATATTTGAGCATTTATGTAGGGAAGCTTACTATTTATTAGTTCAACAGTCAGCAACATGTGTTGTGTAGAAAAAGTATTCTGCAACCTTGCTCAGCTGCTCTTTGATTCTTGTCAAAGTTCCAAGCACTTCATTCACTTCCTCTTGGGAAACTTCTTTTGTAACAAGTTGCGCTGTTCTTGTAACCATTTTGTACTGAGCTTCCATTGCAGGCAATTTCTGCTTAATATTCTGAAACAAAGGTTTAAAAAACTATTTCAACAAATGTATTCATGTATTTATGGGAGATAAAAGTCTGTTCGCAAGAGACAAAAAGATAGCTAGTCCAATTATCAATTGTTTCATCACTGATTATAGTGAATACTGAATCATATTTCAAATGCATGAAAACTGTGCCAAAGGGTATCAGTCATCTCACCTGCATGTGATTTGAAACTGCACAAAAGGAAACATCCAGTGAGATAGTGTATTGGAAACGTGCTCTAGAAATGTCACTCAGAGAATATAATGATTTATATTACCTATAGCAGAAATTATACAAAAAAACTCCAAAACAATAATGATGGAAATGTATACTAAAATAATTTTATGCTCTTAGAATTATATAGTTACAAGTTTCTCTCTTATGAAAGAGAAAGTAAGGAATGGAAGGAAGACACTTACTTCTAATTCTTGTACAAACATCTTGACATCAAGGAAGGACACTTCTATGGGGACTGAAAATTTCCTATTGCTTCCATCAATAAAAGCTGTCAAATGGGCAACACCATCCAAGTATTCCTTCCTCACTTTGTCCAGTTCATCTGCTCGAGCATACTAAGAAAATGTAAAGTAAAAAGAAACAAACAAAAAAAAATAACTACCCCAAAGATATCTGGCAATTAAGTAATGACCTAAGAGAATTAGCATGTTTTCAGTGACAACTGTTTGCTGGAAAAATTGCATGATACAAAATACAAAATAATGTAAACTAATCTTCTAATTTGTTAGACACTAATTGTCTGCATTATTTTCAATAGTGCTGGTACTAAAAAAAAAAAAAAAAAGAAAAAAGAAAAAAGCAACACTCATCCAAGAGGTCAGCCTTTTTAGAGCATTGGGTCATTTGGAGAAAGCCAAACTCTCATTTGCTTCTATCTAGAATCAACATCTCAATTAATTTCTCACTACCCACAGTATCAATTTTGAAAAATCAGAAAAGAGAACAGAACAGAAAATCCCTAGGAAAGCTGAAGGATAAGGGAAATTTCAATAAATGAACTGCTGGCTGGAGAAGGGAAACACAAGTTTTAGAAAGTCAAACGAACTATATGACAGCAATGGTGAAAAGACTGTGAGAAAACCCATGTAGCCAGCATATAAAAGAAGCTGCATAAGTAGAGGAAGAGACATTTACATCCTGTGCATTACTGTTTTCACAGTGAATCACCCTAAATATCATCAGTAAATAAAGCTTGAGAACATTCTAGTCAACAGTTTGGAAAAGTTACAATAAAAAAGGTGCAATCATTATTTGCTTTTTCATTTAAAGTGACTGCAATGGAAATAACCATGCCAGTAAAGAAAATAGATTTAGCATCTTCAAACAGGCAACGGCTATTTAAAAACACTGGAAGGGGAAATTATCATTAGATGTATATTGACTATAGCAAAGATATCTTCTAATGTGTTTATGAGGTGTGAAATACTTCTGTGTAATTTTATCTCACATCTTCCCTTTGCTTTTTGAAGAGCAAATATAGAAATAACACTTCTTTTCCAATCAGCTGAATCTCTTCCATGAGCTAAAGAGTATTTTTTTCATTTACTATCAGTTCTTCCTTGTGCATAAGATAGAACTAATGTCTGACTAATTCAGGGAAAACAGTTAATTAAATTGCATTGTACCTGTTTATGGTTACAGTACAATAAGTGAATGTACACTTTCATTAAATAATAATAAAATTATTCACTTTCACCATTTTCACTGTTTAGTTTTACAGAGTTTACAATAACAATAGCTACTTAAATGGTTTTATTTAGAGAAACAGTAGAGGATATGCATAAATAAAATTCACTGTTTCAAGACAGGAGGCCATAAAGAAAATCTACAGCTTATACTAGCTGAAAATGTCCAAAAATAAAAATAAAAAGCTGTATGACCAAAAGATAAACAAAGGAAAAGCCCTAATAAAATAAACTGCTTGCAGGGATTAATTTCTTATTCAAACAATGATGAATGGTTAGGTACTTTAGTAAGTTGCCCTATAGTCCTGATAGAGGAGCAAATCTGTCTTGATTGCATGGAAATGAGAAAGTAAGTATTTTAAAGTAACAACAGCAAAAACTCATACCTGCTTAACTTGCATAAACAGTTCTCTCCACCTTCCATTTAATAGAAGAAGCTGCTGTTTAAGGTCTCTGGAAATGGTCTCATCACATGTTTCAATCAGGAAATTACCAGCATCATTCATGGCTGTGTGTTGTTGGATCCAATGAGGCAAATGCCGGAAAAAATCCTGAAGAAGAAAATGAAAACACCTTTCCAAAACCTTTTCAAATAGTCTTGACATTAAATTATGAAAGGAAAATTTGATCACCAGCTAAAGCAAATAAGAAAACGTCATATGGATATATATTGCTCAAATTTGTTGAAAAGAGACTTGAACAGTATACCATGTTTTAAATTCCTAAATCTGAGATCAGTAGAGTACAGGTGCTCTGTACTGATGTATCAATGAATAAACATAATAATTGCAGCAAATTGTATGTGCAGTTTGAATCTTCTACTCACAGCGGGGCAAAAACCCTTGCTTTGTGCAAAGGCTACCCTCTGTGAGCACATCCAAAAGAAATGAAGTCTACTGAATCTGGCACTGGTCAGTTCTCCAATGGTCAGGCCTACTGAAGGTCAAGAAGAAAAAAGCACATGGAGGAAACTACTTGTGTCTTTGCTCTGGCACACTTATTCCCAGACCTTGCTGGGGAGTCTCTCTAGTACAGAAATCAATCTAAAGTATGCCTAAATTTGCACAAGTTTGGAAGGTCCTGGGAAACACAGCTCATTCGCAATTAAAACAATTCAGCTCTTTTTAAGGAAGTCCTCACGAGATCTAGAAGCCCTCTGATACCTTTTAGATATAGCTGTCGGAAAAAGGTGTGGAAGAGTGCAGTCACGAGGTTACGATGATAAGTGCTTAAGAGGTACTGGAAGTAAATATAGGACTTGTAGAAGGACCAGTTTGTTCATTTATACACTTACTGATAAATTTCTAGTACTTTGCAGTAGAAAAATCCAAGTGCATACTGATTCTTTTGCAAGACCTGTGCTACACATTCACAGTAACATTTCTGAAAACAGAAACCAGTGAGAAAGCCAACAAACCACTTTTTTTGTAAAAAGAACAGTGGTACTTGCTGGTCTTGAAATCATACAGAGATAATGGAAAAAAGAAAACATGACAGCATGGTAAGGGGTTACCATGGTCTTTGCCTAGGATAGAGTATGATGGGTTTTAGTAATGCAGGTAAGGCATGCAAATGACTATCAATGAACTCTTTGAATCTCATAATTGATATATTTGTGGTTTTACAGAACAAATATTTGGAAATGTTTAAAAAAGTTTTATGCCATATTCCATGCAGCAGTTGTCCTCTTCCACCTGGGATTCCAGATGTTTGTGCTGATGGTTATATGACTACTAACTGTAGATACCAATATAAGTATTGCTTTTTGGTTTTAATATCCAAATATTATAATTGGTAAATGAGAACTACCCTCAGAAGTATCTAAGTGAACTTTAGTGCTGTGGAGTGCTAAATTCCACATGAATGGTACAAGTAACTCTTAAAATATGTATATCAGTCTACAGGTAGATTATGTTACCTCTTGGTAATCTTTAACAGTTTTGAGCCAATGTAATTTTAAAAAGAAATTAACCATTCTGGGAAGAAAAATGCTTACATGGCTAAGGTTTTCAACAAGGCTTTTTAAACTCTTCATGTATCAGAACAGTAAGAAGTACTTGTTGGATTTCAGTTAGAAATCAGAAGCAGATATATATTGTATGGATATGTTCAGATTTCTGCTTTGAAAATCTTTAAAAATAAAGATATAAAACTGATATGAGAATAAAATATTTTTTATTTTATTAATGTATACAGCTATAAGAATATCACATTTTAAACACTGCCAAGTTACCTAGATAAAACATACACAAGGAGCTAAAATCAGCTGTCCTTCCTGCTCAGTAAAAATAACTGTTGGTATTTATATTATACCAGACTATTGAATCTTTTTCAGAGATTTATTTTTAATTAAAAAGCATATTCCATCCTTTTACATCAATTTAAATTAACAAACTTCTACAAAAAAATTACACTGTTCTGTCAGGCAATATAAAACTCATTCCTGACCTGATGTCAGTTTGACATCTTAAAACCTATGAAAACCATACTTTGGTGTTAAAACCTGTATAGCTGCTACAGTGGGATTGGGTGAAGATGTAGCATCTATTAAATGCAATATCATTCAAGTGAATCTGGGTCATTAGTGAAGTTTCACAAACATAAATCTTAGTGCTTCAATACTGTAATATTAGAACTAAAAAAGAAAAAAAGACATCTTTATGACTGCAGGTCCCCAAAAGACACTGTCTAAAAGAATTCTAAAATGCCAGGGAAATGGATTACTTACTTACCAAAAAAACCACAACACCATGTATTAATAATGTTGTCCTGTGAAGGCAACTAATATTGAAATCTCTTATCTATATTGTACAAAAATGAGTGGAAAAAAAATTCTTTAAGTGTCTTTATGCGCAGCATATGATCCTGCTCTTTGGTGTTAAAAGCTGTATTTGCCTTTGAGTGAATCGTGTAACACTCCTATTTCTGAGCAAAACTGCTGCCCTATATTCATGTCAAAGATGCCTCTGATAATGTTATCACAGATGATGCCTTCCTTCACTGTGTGTATGTATGTATATATCTGTACACGCTATACGTACAAACACTGAAACACCCATGATGAATGTAGACAGTATGCCAGAAATGGAAAAAAAATCTCTTCTTCCTGTATGACATTTTGTAAAACAGCCTGAGCAAATGCAAAAACATTATCTCACATTTCACAACTTACAAAATAGCCAGATACATACATCACTACCACATACCTTTTTAGAATGTTCAGGCTGATTCAACATTTTTTCAGCATCTTCCAGCCAAGCTTGTAGACCTGCCACAGTGCTGCTGTATCTGTCCCAATTAGCAATTACTTCTTCCAACATGCTTCTTACACTTCTCACCTCTACCGAGAGGTTTCTCCACTGCGCTGTTGTTTCATTCATGAATTTCATCACATTCTCCACTTCTTCCACTGAGATACAGAAAAGACATAGATTATTTTGGTTCATTATTACTTCTGTAAATCTTAATTTTATGTTATGCTTATCCATTCTCATCAGGGAATTTTATTTTACTGCAAACTCTATTTCGGTAAGCTTTTATATACATACACTTCGTTCACAGCCCAATTTTAGTGCAAAATTATGACTGAGAAATTAAACCTGTGACTTAAAGAATAAAGAAAGTACATAAAATGAGTGCTATATTAAAATGGCCACACTGTATATTCAGTGTGGTGTTCATTTATAGTCTATAAATAAAAGAAATAAGAAAGAAATAAAAGTAATCAAGAGAGAAAAATTCCTTAAAGCAGAAAACAATAGATATGCACAAACATATATTATGTTTGCATTGAGAAGTACTGAATTAAATTTTGATCTTCCTTCCACTGACTTTAAAACCAAACTGCTGTTAATTTCTGTCATTTAATTTTTAGTATTTTCCTTCTGTCAATACAGGAAGAAGTGTGTCCTCATTCCAGAAGAAAAAAAAAAAACAGAGAGAAGATAAAGGACCCAAGCAAATCCTGAGACTTCATAAAACATGCAGAATATAGATAATTTAAAAAATATTTTTTAGCAAAAGTATCCTCTAATTTGCATTGCTGTTTCTGAATTCATATAAGTAGCTGCCCTTTAGAAAAGTATTTTATAGGATTTTTTAAATAGTATTGAATAAATCTATTAATTTTATTCTTTGTAAGCATACTTTGTAAACTTATTCACTTTTGTAAATTTTGAGTGTCATTGTCATCAACTTAAATTTTGCAATAAAAAAGATACCCATTTTCTCTCCATATCTGCTAACCACTTCAGCAGCTGCAGCAATCCTCCACGGACATTATTGTGTTATCACGTCCTCGGCAGAGATTACAGTGATCTCATGTCTGTAACTATCTAGGTCAAATATTGCCCTCATGCATTCTCACTGGACTCAGCAGTGTTCAGGAATTACAGGAGGCAGCTGCTGAATCTGCTACACGTTTTTCTCATGTATATCCATGCTTCACATATAATTTGGTTTCCTCTTATAGGTTCTCACAGTTAACGAAGGATCTTAAATAAATCAGGAGATAGTTTTGCTACACTACCACAGTACTGGGACCAACTCTCTGCTTGTCTTTTTCTAGTAAATTAAGCCAAGCCAGGGAGCATTTCCAGAACATGATGTACCCTACTCCTGATTTGGTTTCTGGCACAATATTGGCACAAATCAACAACACTGAAACGATCCAGAAGTTAGCATGGACCATGGACTTCTCCCATTAGGAAGTCTGAACATGACCACCTTCTGGAGATTAAGGATTCTTAAGAGCAGAGGGCAGGCTCTGCACCAGCAGGTTTCATGATAGAGAATATGTGAAATTGCTACCAGAGGCTGTAGCCTCTCAGGTGAGCTGCAGATGCTGTACACCTTTGCTGCATGGAAGAAGCAAATATTTAGAGATTTTTTTTTTTTAGAGATTAAAATACTGTCCCCATGATGGAAGAAACATAGGCACTTACCTGAGCCATTTGCTTTGGCATACATTTCAGCTGCTCTTTTCAAGATCTGGTAAGTAAATTCATACTGCTCAAAGAACTTACTGTTTTCGATAACAGACTGAAAAGAAAAAAAAATACAAAAGACAAAATAAAGATGGGTATTAATCATAAGCATAATTTCCATGAAATTACATCAGGACAGTGATGACAACCTTTAGTTTCATTATTCATCCATTCATTTTTTTCATCCTTCTCTGGGGACATTTAAAACCTGCCTAGACACGTTCCTGTGTGACCTAGTCTAGGTGATCCTGCTCTGGCAGGGAGGTTGGACTGGATGATCTTTTGAGGTCCCTTCCAACTCCTAACACTATGTGATTCTGCGATAACAATATTTAAAATATCCTTATTATAAAATAACACATAAATTTCACCTTTTCAAATTAATGTTATAGCAGAGTCTCCCTTTGCACATACAGTTTATTTACTTTGCATACGTAAAAATTATTTAATATGTTCTTAGTTGGTCTGCTAGTTGCTGACTTGCTGAAACTCACCAGCATATGATACTTTGAATGTACAGAAACTGAGTTATTTAATGGAAACTGTTTCACACTGAAATCTAAGTGGAATTATTTTAATAAAAGAAAAAAATTCAACCATATAGGTCACCACAAAAATAAGATCCAATTAAAATTTAAAAATTGTTCTTGTTATAAGCCTTTACAGAAAGGCAGGTTTCACTTTAAGATAAGAAAAACATTTGACTTAACCCTCAGATTTCCTTTACCTACTTTCTAAATGGTAAAAAGAAAGTTAAGGAAATGCTGCACAAAGAGATGCTGCTTTTCCAAAATGTGACACAGCACTTTGTGAGTGATGTTTTAGCTGTGTAATGTGTTATGAATGAATAATTTATCTGGAAATATTCTGGTCACAAGGTTATGGCTCTTTATCATTTATGCCTCTTTATCTCTTATGGCAAATGACACTGGCTTTTTTTTTACATGTCTTTCAGAAACTTTACTTCCTTTATATGTGATATATAATTATGTCTCTATATTATTATATGTTATATCTTGCATTAGCACTGTTTAAAAAGGGAGAAAACCACACTTTTTAAAATAAGACTTTTATATTGCCTTACCTAATGTACATGTCTAGAGCTCTGCAATGGTTTTGTAATGTACTACCTCCCATACCTCCTCAGTTAAAGATGTACAAAATGAAGGCAAGTACATCTCATAGATGTCTACATATGCTTTGAAACATCAGAATAGACAAGATTCTATGTGTACTAGTGTGATTTTTCAATTTTCAGATGAGGTCAAAGTTCAATGTACTTTGAAGGGGAGGGTTAGATTTTGTGTATTCATCAACCCACATTATATAGACATAAGAAACCATTTAAAAAACTAATCTGCTAGCCAGTATATATTTTAAAAATCTATTTTAAAACCTTTTAAAGTTGCTATGTCTAATCACCACAGTTACTAGTGTGTAATTAGGAATGTGTTTATATGCAAGAAACTAGAAGTCAAGGACAAAGAGAATTTTTATTTGCTGTACTGTTAAAAAAACAATCTGTATAAAGAACTACATGCTTTACCATGAGTTATGTGAAAAACTCCTGACTTTCACCTTTGCCAAACCCATGCACACAGACATTTTACCCTGAACCAAACACTGCAAGACTTAACATGAGAAAGTAAGACTGTATCAGACTATTTATATAATACTGATCTCAAGAACAACTGGAAATATTTTCGAAAATTAAATACAGATATTTTACTAATTAATATTGTCTCCCACCTGACAATGTCCCTTAAAGAAAATATGTAGCTTTTCTCAAATCTGTATAGCATACAGTGCTAAAAAAGTGCTAATACAGCAATGCCAAAACACAGTTCCATGAGCTAAAATCAATGGATAACTGTACCCAGTATCTCTGTTACAGATGAGACTTTGGTATAGGTTGATGGTGCACGATTTATGCTGACCTTTACTTTTCTTATATGACAGGTGAAAAAAAGATAGGATAAAGTAGCAACCACTTTTATTTTTAAGCTACAGTACATAAATATTTTCCAGACATATGTTCCATCCAGATCCTAACTACGCATATTCCTAGAATGCTGACGTTGCTCAGTCTGCTTTGGCAGACAAACATACTTACATTTTTATCTCCTACTAATACAGTCACTGACGATAAGATACTGACTACAGCTTTCCTATGTAAGAGTCTTAATTTACTGGAGGAGTAACACTTGGCTCTTGGTCCTAGAAAATTGCTCCCAGGTAAGCCAAAGGAAAAAAGATGCCTTTCCATCACTGGACACCTGGAAGGAGCCAGAAGTCAAGGCCATCAGGAATGAAACGGAGCTGTATTCAACCTCTTGTATCAGTTTCCTCATTTTGATGTGATGCAGTTTCAGAAATGATGCAAGGAAGCATTTTCTTTCCCCTAATGACCATCTCAGCATTAGTGGTCTGAAGCACAAGGATAATTGAGACAATTGCAAAATAACATACAAATTCACCACTTAATGTTCATTTTAAAGCAAAAAAAAAAAAGAAATGTGATATAAAAGAATAATCCCAAAGTCAAGCTCTCCATTTCCTCATTATTTCTCATCACCTTTTAATAGTTTTTCTGACAGTTTAACAGAGTATATAAATGGACCTCCTAGCTATTGCACATCACTCTAGCAAACTATGTTATTTTAAATAACCATCTGAATTTGGCGAAGCTTGTCTAAAACAAAGCTTAATTCCTGAATCTTTATGTGTCCCTAACTGCTAAAGTTTAAACACAGAAAGGCTGTGGGGGTGTCAGTAACTTTCTCTATACAATGTCCTGGCTCTGAAGGGCTCTATAACTGTATAAATTCTTTCCAAAATTATTTTTCCGGTGCAATTTTCATCATATGGATTAGATAGAAGGAGGAAGAAGTATTTAGCCCAGCCCTGCTTTTGAAAGAATCCCTCATGCCTTAATGTAGAAGTGCAGCAGTACTTGGCATGACAAGTGCGGATTTAACAAGATCCAGCAGCATAAGCCTGAAAGGGAATGTATGTAGAGCAGAAATAAAGTAATGGGTTTAATATACTAATGGAGAGCAGGAGAAGAAAAAACATTCTTTAAAATTATTCCCCTATCAGTATAGTTTATTGAACAAGTACAAAGAAGCAACTTAACTTCTCTTTTTTCCTTCATTTGGAGCACTTAAGGAAAAAACAGTACAGTGGTGGACTGCATGCCAAAAACCTCCTCTTCTCTCTATACCTCCTCTACACTTAATCTGTGTATTGTCTTTATAAAGTGGATCTATGCAGTTGTAACAGAAGATGAAATTAAGTTCTTTGGGATTACTATCTAAGGTAAGTAAAAATCTAGGATTTGGAACCTCCAAATATGCTTGCTAAATTGATGGTTGGGCAGTTAGCAGCTGGGACATTATTTCTGGTTTTGTAGAGATGGTGCAGAGAATCACTTTCATTTTTATCCTTTTGACTGGAATTCCTCCATGGGGAAGAAAGACTCACCTCTGAAGAGAAATTCCATAAGAATGCAGACAAAGCTGATGACTGGCCAGTCTCATTTCTGTTTCTGTTCTTTTATTAATTTCCAGCAAATTTAAATATGAATATTTCAAAAATAATTATAAAAAGAAGACAACCCCAACTTACAATATAATTTTGAAGAAGTAGTTCCACCGACTCTCGCCTTCCGTATTTGATAATCCATGATTTTAACTTGGATTCTGCAAGGACTAAGAGTGACAGTAGACGGTACTTCAGTTCCAGAAACTCCATCTTCAGCAGATGGAGCTCAGATGAAGAGACAACAAAATTAAACCTATAAAACGAATCACAGTGTAGTAAAATATAGCAATATTCATTTTTGCAGGAGAGATTAAATCTTTAGTTACAGTTCAGATTTTTCTAATCTTTCACCTAATTCAGTTTACAAGCATTTAATTATGCATGATGATCATTCTGATGACTGCTTTTTAATAGCAAATTAATTATATTTCTATTTATTCATAGAAATCATCAGTTTACGTCTGTTACTAAGTTTTGCAAAGTCATTTTTTCTTTTCCTTTTTTTACATGCATGCCAGCTCCTGTTATATAACATTTCTTCCAAGGATAAGTAATAACAGAATCAATGTAAAAAAGTATTCCCTTCCAAAACCCATAGGTTAATTTGATTGTCATCAATCTTTAATGCATCAGGCTTTTTGGTATATTTTTATGCATATTCTAGGAGGTTTTCCCTTACAAATTTTTAAGGCTTGCCACTGAGAAACATGAGAGACAGCGATTTCTACATGAACAGATTAAAAAGCAAACAGGTTCCCTTTCATTCACAGAAGGTTTTTATTTCAGATGGAAAGCCTTACCTCTCTGCCATATCCTCTAATTGGTCAGATGGAACAGGCACTCCATTAACAGACCTGGCCCCGTGGATCTCATGGAATGCCTTTTTGTGACCATCTATGTTTTTCAGCAGATCCTGATTTGATTTTGAGAGAGAGAGAGAGAGATTGAGAGAGTGAAGGGGGGTGGGGTGGAAGAGAGGGAGACAGAGTGAGAGCGAGAGAGAAGGCTCACAGTAGGCTATCGAAATAATAAGCACAATTTTAAGCCTGCACTGATGACTCAATGTAGTTAACTGTTTGATCATGCTTTCACATTTCCATGCAAGGTTATTTATGCATACCACAAAAGCATTTACATCAACTTGAACATTTACGTAGGGAACCCCCTTAAAAGATGCTCTCTAAAACTGTGTCTAACAATTAGGGAAGATTTTAAAACAGAAGATACACTGCAAAGGTTTAACAAAACAAGAACTCTTAGCTGTATTAAATAATCCCTGAAATGCAGTCTGCAAATAGTCTAACATAACAGCATAATCTTTCTAAATTTACTGTTTACATCTTTATAACAGATACTAACCTTCATTAAGTACAGATTCAAATTTTCAGCAACTAATCTACTCCAATATATATAGGCAGAAGATCCATAGATCCTTATGTAAGTATATATTCAAAATTCAGTGAACTTTTCACTCCTTCAGCATCAAAAGACTTCAGGATTGCTCTCTCTATATTACATGAAAATGCAGAATGTGGTACCTGACCTGTATTCCTGTGATAAGACTTGTACCAGCAAAAACCTTACAGCAGAGCACACTTCAACTGTAACTAAGCAACACCGCTTCAAACGGTTTCCTGGAGATTACATATTAAAATGAATGACTGGCAGTAGTCTTTGAAGAGATACCTTAACAATAACACATCAAGTCCCCAGCGGCTGAGAGGACACAGAACAGTGGGTATTTTACTGCATACAGACAGCTTCTGGCACAAAGTGCTCAGGAGCCTATTAGCAAAGGAAATCATACAAAGATTCCCCCTTTCTCACCTGGAGGAACAAAATCCAGGCTTGTGTATTGATCACAGATGTGTATTTATTCCTATGTGCTGAAGGAATATGCCTATATTCCTATGTAGTTCCTCCTCAGTCAACGCCCAGTGCTTGCACAGCAGAAATTAATGTTAATTCATTGGCTCAGCTCACCCAATGGTCCCACCATCCCCATCAACCCACCTATGTTTTTGTTGTTTTCCACTTCAGCCAACACCTTGTCGTGAAGAGAAATTATTTAGCCATTATCAGATGCAAGTGATGCACTGATTTTACCATGGCAAAAACTCCACTGAGGACATCCTGTGACTAACATACCCTCACATAAAAGAAAGACTTGGAACAAAGGGATGCCCTTAACATGCATTCGTAGGTCAAATTAAAACTGAGCAGTTTCATCCATTGTCAGCTGGAAGCCCATGAATATTTTTATATAGCAGTCTCATGAAATTAAATCCTGCTTTGCAAAATGACCATCAATAAGCAGAGACATTGTCCTTAATTTCTGGATCTTGGTGTCAATATTAATTAAAATAAACTGAAGTGCTTGCCTGATTCCATGAAGGTTTGTTCAAATAAGATGGTATGTTTTGTATTAACTTCAAAATGACCATAAAGTTCACTAAAATAACCCATTGTCAGATGAGATAAAGATATAGAGAAAATGATTATGTTATCTGAACAAACCTATAACAAACAAGCCGAAACAACTTCCTAGGAAACAAGGACTGAAAAAATACACTAATGCATTTCTGGTACTACTCAATAGCACATTAGGATTCATCAATGCAAATATGAGTGAGAAAACAAACTCCAGGAACAGATATAATTACACATGCTTCCCTTGAAGCTTTCCCCATCCCAGTCCCATGGGAAATCTCCTCTGGCACAGACTAACCTAAATCAAAGTTTATTTGTTGGAGTAGAAAGCCCTCACAGCAGCATTTCTGATGCAAAGAAAATACAGTTTAGGACAGAATATTGTTTTTCTTATGAATGTATCAAAAGGAGGTCTATAGTGTTCACATTAGAAGAACAAAAAAGCATTTGACTTGCTTTGTATAAACAAATGTAAAATCTTACAAATCCTGAAGCATTTGATGTTAACAAGAAAGCACATGAAATTTAGCATTACAAGAGACTAGACCTCGAAAGAAAACAATATCTTCCTCATAGATTTTAATATTGTTTGGGTTAAATTTTATTAGCTACTCCTTATGTTAGAAGAGCTGCCACAGTTATAATAAAGAATAAGCAGAAGACCCAACCGAGCTCCCAGATAAACTATCATTATCTATCACATCTGTTCCAAGATGACTATGAAACCTATCAGCTTTTCATTACATGACATTACTTTGTAATTAAAAACCCACCCATATCCAAAACATAAAAATTAACAAAGCTACAATCAAGTTTTAAATTAGTACCAATAGAGAAAAAAGCATTATAAAACAATACAGCCTTACTGCTGCAACTGCAGCTTTTCTCTACACCATCTTTTTCCTTTCTCTATCATATTTCCTGGTTCAGTTTATTTTATCATATCACCAACACTATCTACCTATATTTTTCTCATATATGATGGAAATGCACAGAAAAACCTCACAGTTTTGATTGCAAATGAGAGCTTGGACTCAGCAAAGAATAATGGGAAAAGTATTTAAATTCAACTGGAAAAGTTTCATGTTTGCCACAGCAGAGGGGACTTTCTTGTGCTACTTGACATCATGACACCATGAAAACCCATTTCATTCTGTTTGTTCCTCCAGTGCATATCAGCTGCACTGACTATCAGTACACTTAGCATGCTTGCTCTCTCTCTCTCTCTCCTGTTTCACCTAAGAAGTTCATATTGGTTGAACAACATACCCAACTTATGAGCTCCCTATGGAATTTTACCCAACAGAAATCCTAGAATAGGGGAACAATTAAAATATTAATACCTGATATCTTTCAGACAGATGAAGGAAGAATGTTCAAAAGCAATTTTCAATACTGCTTGAAAGATACACAGATGTCACAGTTCAAGTCACCACTAAAAGACACCTAGCTTTAGCTACCATCAAGATGACACCACCCACAGTAACTAAAAATAATAATTTCTTTGTATAGTATGGATCATTTACGGTTTTGGAAACAATGAAATATTTGGCACAGAAAGAATGCATCATGTAGATCTACCTTATGTTGTTCAAGCTTCCGGTGTATTATATTCGCTGTTTCCTCATGAGCTTGTTGAACAGTTACTTCTTCCCTCAGAGCAGCCTCTGCTCTATAGAGCCAAGCACCTATGGTACCCAAAGGTGCAGGAAGAGATTTATCAAGGTGTATGTGCCAATCAAGTAGCTAGGAAATAAAAGTAAGAGGATTAAACTTCTTTGTATAACTAAGCAAGAAAATAAGTATCTTGAGAAAAATCAGGCTTTATACTGCAAGACCAAAATCCCATATAACAGAGTATGTTAGAGACATAAACCTAGGTATACTACTTCACATCAGTTCTGAAATTACAGCATTCTCACAGGCAACAAAATCTCTATAAGGATTTGTAGATTCATGTATTTCCCTTCCAGAATGATAACTGAGTTACAAAACTGACTACATATAAACTGGAACAACTGATAAGCTAAAGACCTGGAATTTCATCAGTTAATAGGCACAGCAAGAGAAGCAAGATCATCTTCTACCCGATGTAATTTATTTAATGTTCTTGCACAAAATCTTTGTATCTTTATTTTGAACATATTTTCTATGTGTAAAGTGCAAATGAGTCCCAAAGGACTGTGGAGTTGAGAGTATAGCAGTAAAATACTGACTCTTATTGGCAATCCATTAACATATAGTGAGCAATAATGATTTAATAATTTCTTATTTGGTACAAAAATATAAACAGCTTGGGATTTTTAATTCAAAAATTACAAAATTAATATCACAAATATAAAAATTTATTACTATTGCAACAAGGTCAAATATATAATTAAAGCTTCATTTATTGATGAAGTATTCAGTACAATTTTCTTAGTTATAATAAAAAAGTTATATTAGAATTTCTCAGATAACTCTAACAATTTACATTAAAACAATTTACATGCACATTTTTAAGGGGCATTGTGCATGCTTTGGTTTTTATCAACAATGTTTTGAACTTGTCTAAGCACTGTTAACACACTTCAAATAAAGGGAAACCTCAAAGTACGGTCCTTTTCTTAAAGTTCATATTCTATCTTTAAGCAATATTGAAGATGATAGTGCAGTAAATGTTCCCAAAACAAACGCAAAATAATTCAACAGTGCTAGGAATTTGGTCCATTTTTAGGTTTCTAATGCCTAATAAAATCAATAGCAAACAGGTGTCTAAATGATTTTAAATTCTCATCCTTCATTTAATAAAATATGTATAGCATAATAATTTCAACTTACCCTGGAAGAAACTCTGTCCCATGCTTGCTTCACCATAGCTTGATCAAGTGATAACTTACCATCTTTCCTTAATGACTGGGTTACAAGTTCAATCTGCTTCCTTTTTACCTCATATTGTACTCTGAAATGCTTAAAGGACTGCAACAAAAAGAAAATCAAATCAATGTAGTACAGAGACAAAGAATTAAATTCTTCAACATTTATGGAGCACTACAATCTATGACAATTTTGTACTGACAGAAGTCCTAATCCTTCCAAAAAGGAAGAGGAGTAGCAGCCAACTTGTATATTTACACTGAAATGCCTTTTATTAAAGGTTTTAATAGACTGTAGAATTCTCCAGGAAAATGTAGGTAGGACTTCTGTATTTCCCTTCAGTTATCAGATGCCTGAACCCTATATGAAATGAAATAATAATTGATCAGATAAACTAGCAAATGGATTAAATGCTACTTGACACAGAGAGTGGCTGCTTTGAGAGAACAGCCAAGCTTTAGGAGAAAATTTAGGCCAAAATTTATATTGCTGATTTAGACATTAACCTTAGAGAGAGGGGTTAAAAATGAAGCTCTAAGCCATGTCCTTTCCACCTGTCACCTCATTCAGCCTTCATACCTCCTATCTGAGCTATAACATGCAGGATCTGGAAGGACCGTACAAACACATGCTCACTTCTAACTAGGACAGTCCTTCTTCACACTGCTAGAAAAAGCTCTGTGTTAGGCAAACCATCTGTGCACTGTCCTACGTAGCAAAGCTGGAGCTGACATTATAATTTCTCCACCAATAAAAGGCAAGACAGTTTGTGTCCTTATTTCTTTAAAGTGCAGCATATTGACCTGCATATATACAGAGTGCATAAAATACTGCAGTATATGTTACACATAATGATGACAATACTGTGTAATCATACAAAATTTTCCCCACTGCTTACCTGGTATTTCTCCTGTAAGCTTGCTTCTGCAACCTGTGCTCGGGCTATGTCCCTTTCTAATTGTTCAGCCCACACTTTCAGGTCTCTCAGCACCAGTCTGTCTTCCTTCTATGATTTAGTACAACCACACACAAAAATAACATTGCAGCTTATTAGTAGAGGTGTCAGATATAGTTCAGAAATTAACATCTCTCTAGCAAGTCCAGGTCATTAGTTGTAGTGAAAGCAAATGGAACAACTGGGCCCAATTCTCTCATTGCTTAACTCCATACAGTCTAACTGAAAAGTGCTTTCTGAGTATGAGAGAACTCAGCATCTAGACCTGAGTCTTACCGTGGTGAAGTCATGACAATTTGGGACATTGCAGTGTCAGAGATACTACTTGCAGTGCTTATCTGATGTTAAACTAACAAAAAGTCCTCAACAGCTAATTTTATTCTTCCACATATTTGCAGTCAATTTCCAGTAAAAGTTAATTGAGCTGAGGCAGAAGAGGATTTTATCATCTTTTACCACCGTTTCATTATTTAGTCTACTATTGCTGAAAAAAAAAAGTTATTTTCTGAGTGACTTCAGGGAAATCCTTGACATCAAGCTCCAAGTTCAGAAGTTGGCAAAATTTTTCAATAGAGAATGTTTTAACAAGGAAATGAAAAGAAAGAAAAAACAATTGTATTCAGTTTCTTTTCTTTCCATGCCATTTTATGGCTTTGAAGAACAGCGTATTTGTTTTACAGTTTTGCTTTAACACTTCAGTCTGTCATGGTACTGATGCTTTGCAAGGCTAAAAGGTTCTCTGCAGAATTCAGTGACCAGGCAGTGAATAGATAAATACTAACAGGAAATCTCAGGTCTGTGAGCATGATACATGAGAAGATTAGCAAACAACAGAAAGTTTTTTTTGTGCACTGTGTAAGCAGGTTAATCAAGTAGGATACAAGTGTCCATCTGAGATGTCCAACCAATGAACCCTATGTGCTGGCTGTTAATCAGAAGATACTCTTTGAAACCAAAGAAGCTGTATTACTGTAAAATTTGTCAGAAACAGATCTATTACAGCAAACAAGTGCAACACCACATCATGTAAGTTAATCACTCAAAATGAGTGATTAAATTGCAAGCATTACATGAGAGAATAAATCTGGACCACTGACTGTATTTAAGAAACAACATACTTTCTTTTAAGAAAAGTTCCTAACTTGGGAAAGGAGCCAATTATGGTTAATTTACTTGAAAGCTGCCTCAAATATGTAAAACAAAACTTCCCTTAATAAAGTGCAGATCTATTGCTTCATTTCAGCTGAGGAAAGGACAGTTATGCAAGAAACCCCTCTTTCATGTATTACTACTAATCCTCTTACTGATCCTCTACTCAAAACTGCAGTAGTGGTTGGACAGAATTTGCACAACAGATTGTGCAAACATCACAGGTTCTATATCTGTTAACTCTCTAGGTAAATACTTAGCTGGGTAGCTGCAGAAAGGTGAACAAGATATTAGAGCAGATGTACTGGAATAAAATTCACTGTAGTTCATGCTCCAGTCTTTGGACATTTGCTGAAAAGTTGGTACCCAAGAAACAGTAAAGACCACACGTGACACTTCCCTGCTCCAAATATGTATAGTGCTGGGATTTCCTTGACTGCACATAGTGTCTCAAGAAGCCAAAACTCCTAGTGCTTCCAACTTCTCAAATCATTTAAATATAGAGAAGGAGAATAAAATTTCTACTCTTGTGGCCTGATAGTTGGCTGTTTGTATGGAAAACCAAGATTCTTTGAGATAAACAGCAAAGCCAGGACTACTGCCCTATAAGCAAAAGAATATAAGAGGAGAGAATTCTTAACTCATTCAGCCATCAAAAAAAGAATTTGGGTATTAAATGCACTCCATTTTTTTGGAAGTTACAACTTCAGCAATACTGTTGAGATCTCTGTTAGTAATTAGCTGTCAGCTCCTTAAAGGCAACACTGAACTATGCATCTTAATGGATTGAAAGACTTATAACAATCCTACTAACTGAAACTGTAAGTAAGACACTCTTTAAGTTAGGAAGAGAATAAATGTGTCACAATGGTGTGTATTTTACTTTTAGTTCACACTATAGATTCAATTTTGTAAAACACTGGCTTTTATTCCTCTTTGGTTCATGTTCTTACTGCTGAGAAGCACCTCCTTAAGGTAAGTCTTTCCAACAAGAGCATCTGTGTGGCTGCAACTGTTCATACAGCAATGTGAACAAAATAGGTATTTTGCAAGATTCCTGTCAACGTAGCTTCAAAATTTAATAATGGCTACAATTGGGTCTGACCAAATCTTTTTGAAAAAGACTATCACAAGGACCAACAACTCTTAAATCACATACCGTTTCTCTGACAAAGTGAAAAGATAAAGCTAATGGGTGGCACTGACTCTTCTGCAATTCTTTCTTTTCTATTTAGTTAAGACAATTTTTTGTTTACTTTGTTTAATTGTAGAAGAGGTAGATGTTTCAGTAACTGCCTAACACAGCGCTGTTAAAGACATTGTGCAACAAGGTATGATAAGCATTTTATTTATATATTCATACATTTTCACAGGTTTCCGGTTCAGTGCATCACTTATCACCTGCAAACTTGGTCCTGTGGTCCTTGGTTGATACAAAAGCCTCAATTTGGGTAAGACGTAAAAGATTCACCTTAGACGACAAAGCACCTGTCACCAACACCCCTCAGGTTTAATGAGCTACGATTCTTAAAACAAGACTTTCATCAGTGCCTAGTGGCTCTTACACTTCGTAAAAAATATCAAAAGGATATTCTTACAGATATGTAAACCATTTTCTAAAGCCCATACATCTGAAGTAGCATACAGATCAGAACATAAACCATCAAATAAAAGTTATGTATAACCATTTGTGCTTTTCCCAGTATGAGGATTACTGATCTCTGATCACATTTCAGTTTATCTAAGCCACTACAACTTACTTTCTGCATGCTATTTCCAAACAGCATTTAAAGTATTAATTTATCCTGACACCATTCCATGAATATTCACTGATTTGCAGAGTTTAACAGAACTGGAGCATTCAACTGCCAAAGAACATCAAAGAAGGTAATTAGAGAAAAGTGTTTGTGAATTCAATATGATATGGGGGTACAATTTAAATTTACAAAGAAAGTTTTCATCCTAGACTCAAAGTCAAAACATTATTTTATTAACTGATATGCCAGAGTTAATATAACATAATACAGAATACTTCGGTGTTTGAAGAACTAAAAATATGCATCTGTGTTTCATATGAAATTTAATTATGGACTGGAAAAGGAGTACTTTGTTGGGTTCTCTAATATGTCATTATACACCAGGTGAAGCATTCAAATTCTCAGGCACAGGCAGACTTTTAAAATACGAACTTTTACATTAAAAAAAATTAAGTCACCTGCTTTTCAGGGATGTTGAACTATTGCATTGCCTGTATGCTAAGAAAATCAAGTCCCTTTAAAAATGTGTTTACAGGAGTTCAATTAATTATGCCTTTCCTTTTGCAAACTCTGGCTTACATATATGTGTTACTGGATGTGTATGTGTATATGTGTTCCTGAAACACGTTCACTGACAACAGTATCACAGATGCATGGTAAATGCTGAGCCAAGCATCACCAGGGATGAGCTATTAATGTCCAAATGTAAAATTAGACAGTAAAGCACGAGAAGAGCTCAGAAAGTTATTTTTGCAGTTGCTGCTCATGAAATTTCTCTTACATTGGGGAACTCTGCTGGCATAAAAATGCTGGAAGTGACAGGATTGTATTCTTAATTACTTGCTTGTCAGAGCACATGAAAAGAAGGACTTTACATCAGAAATACTTTGAATGAGTGTGCTTCCTCTATAGTTAAATTTATACCAAGATAAAGAAACTGACTAAGATTTCACTATTTCAAAACTTCACTAGCTGAAGCAGCAATGCACTGGGGCTGTGTAAGGTTAAGAATGTACAACAAGGTCCCAGTAAAGCTGTCTAAATTTGCTTGAATAGATTGAGAAGATGGGAATAATCCTGCTATCAGTAATAAACTTCAACAGATATCACTAGTTACATATACATAATACAAGATGAACTCTTGATCATACTTACTTGAAAATAACCTATTGCTTTTATATTTAAAAAAACCCCACAACCAACCAAAACCAAACAAAAATCACACACAAAAATGAGTGTGGAACCAAGGTAATTAACTGCATCAGGTCAAACTATAAACACTATTGACTGACTGCAGTGACACCTGTTATTTGTTTCATAATATATTCATTTCTGTAGTATCACCTCTGAATGTTAATTTCAAATACTCTGTGTTAGATTTCTGAACTTCTCTCTGTTAACACTAGAAAATTATAAATACCTAAGTGTCCAAGATGATTAAAAAAGTATATTTTTATAAACATCACGATTTACGTGAAAAAGGAGCAGTGAATACATGCAATTACACATGAATTCTCTCTCCTTCCAATACACAGTCTACACACAACACTTACACAATCACATTTACAATCTAATATCTACTCTATATACCTAAAGACATACAAAAATAGCCACCAAAAATGAGTTTAGATGAGTAGAAACATCTATACTATACACCTATCCTTAAGAATACCAAAAGCATAGGAAAGTTGACTTGCTTTTCTATAATATTCTTGTGAAATTATTTGCAAAATTAAGCATTAAGCTTGTGTAAGCATTACAGCTTGTGTAAGAAGGTAAACTTAGACTTATTATGTTCATCTGTTTGCTCTTTTGGAAAGATATACCAATGCAAACCAATGTACATAGAGACACCCAAAATCTAAAGTCAAATAAGTGCAGGATAAAAACAGATAACAAGCATGAGAGGTCCAATTCAAGCAATTATGCTGGAGCATATTACCCTTACCTTAAATTTCATAAAAGAAATGACAAAAGTTGGAATTGCTTGAAGTTCCTAGCAATATGAAACAAATAGGAAAACAAGAAGGAAAAAAAAAGAAGCAAACAAAATAAACAAAATAAAGCAAAGCAGGCAGAAAGTCCAGAGAGAACAACAAAAGAGCCACACATGCAAGAATACGAGATGTACTTAAATATTATCAAGTTCATGTGTCTGTATCATATCAAGTGAAGTAGTTTTTATATAAGATCTGATTTCCGGATTACTGGTCACTACATGATTTATTTTATCTGGAAAAAACAGTTACTTACCTTAGAGTAACTGTGATTGATTGAGATGTGTTGACTACACAAGTTCACCTATGTGCATACCCAATCCATGCATGAAATATTAGATCCCTTTTAATTCTAGAAATGGACATGCAAATAGTTGTCCCTCTGACTACAAATAAGGGATCTTTATTCCACTTCTTCCAGTGCAAGTTCTTTATAAACTGAGCATTGAAGCAGGAGTTAAGATGAATAGGAATTTGTGTGGACAATACATCTTGAGGAAACACAGTGGTAGCTGATTTGGCTGGAGTGCAGGGGATGTTAGAAATACGCACCCTCCCCATCAAAAACCACCCAGACACACTCCACTCAAAAGTAGGATTCTTCTAACTAAATGTAGGCATCTGCAATTGAGACAGTCACTCTTCCAGTTCTTCTTGACAGATAGAAATAAACAGTTGCATCTAGCAGCTACCACCCAACTCATCTCATTCTACAGTAGGTGCTTAACACAGGTCAGATGTAACACACCTTAAAAGTGCTTAGTTTTAGAAAACAAAAAATTAAGAGCACCCCAGGCATTTAAAGGATAAGAGTTTTGCAAGGTTATGTCTCCAAGTACCTGGATTCTACCATTCTGTAATACATGTTTCCTTGCACTAGACTTCAGAGGGAAGAGAGAAAAGCTAAGAATAGGGGGATTATACTGGTCACAAAAATATAAAGCATTTCTGGATTTCTTTTTAATCAATTGCCAACACTTCACCTATCATTACCTAAGGGAAGGAGTCATCAGAGGCAGTATTAACTCTGTTGAAATGCTATGCAACACTAACTTCCAGAAGACAAGTTTATTTAGGACAGCATCTTAAGAAAGATGCCATCTGGAAAAGTGTCTCTCTCATTCATTATAGCTAGAGTGTAAGTACCTAGCTTTTAGATTCTGAAAGATGGATAAATCCTGTTCTAAATAACTAAACAAATAATGCAAAATTCCTAAGGAAAGCTTTATGATGGACATGGATACTTCAGGTCAGCAAGAGGGAAGAAAGAGGCAATAGATACTGTCCTATCTTGCACTGTTACCTATGGTGATCACAAGGGCATCCAATTCCCTTAAACAGTTTCCACAAAACACAAAAGGACTATTTTAAAATTAACTGATCTTACACATTTGGTCTGAACTTGCATATGGTTGTATACCTACAGCAGAACCTGCGGATAACATTTCTTGAGAAAGAATAAACCGATTTTTAATCTAAAAGGATTATATAGTCACAAAAATATCTTGTATCTAATTCACTCGTGCACTGAGAATAGAAGTATTCTCTCTCCTTTAGATTTTTTCCAGTTAATTAATTTAACAAGGTGGATATCAGAATAACCATGGCTACAAAAAGAGGTTAAAAATGCACTTACATGGCTTGCGTGGTCAAGAAAGTCAGTTGCCATGTTATGATTACAAGAAATTACTTCCATTAAACAAGATCTCCATTAAATTTGCAAAGCAGTAAGTTAATTAATGCTTCTGTAACTACTAATGAAAATAGTTCCTGCTCTTATAAGCAGAATCCACTTTTCTAATTTTTTAAAGGAATTTTAATCTCCATTCTTGTATGATGCCATTTAGAAAAGAGGATTCCTCTTGCATTCCAAGAAGACCTCTACTGTTGCTCTTTCATTTTTAAAAAACTTAAAATACATCAACTATGGTCTTAAATGTTATCACAGAATTGCAGAATCACAAAGTGGTTGAGGTTGAAAGGGACCTCTGGAGGTGACTTGCTCCAAAACCCCTGCTTAAGCAGGGCTACCTACAGAAAGTGGCCCAGGATGATACCCAGATGGATTTTGAATACCTCCAAGGATGAAGACACCTCTCTGGCCAACCTGTCCCAGTGCTCAGTCACCCTCACAGTGAAAAAGTGCTTCCTAATGTTCAGAGGGAACCCCCTGGATTTCAATTTGTGCCCATTGCCTCTGGTGCTGTTACCGGGCACCACTGAGAGGAGCCCGGCTCCATCCTCATTGCACCCTCCCATCAGGTATTTACACACATTGATAAGATCCTCCTGAGCCTTGTCTTCTCCAGGCTAAATCACCCCAGCTCTCCCAGGCTTTCCTCATAGAAGAGATGCTCCAGTCCCTTCACCATCCTTGGCCTCTTGTTGGACACTCTTTAATGTGTCTAGGAATTCTGTATTGAGGATCCCCGAGCTGCAGACAGTGCTCCAAGTGTGTACTCACCAGCTGGCAACCTCCCTTGACCTGCTGGCAACACATCAAATTGGATTTGCTGGTGTGATAGCCTGACTCAACTTGGTTATTTAAATGATCCTTTGCCTGATTTTCTCCAACCCATATGCAATTAAGAATTTGGGCTAAAAGATGTGAAAACATTCGGTAAAAAACCTCTACAAGATATTTGGTTATGAAGCATTCAATTAAGATTTTTTTTCCATTTCCCCTTCATAGACTGTATAAATATGCAATGCAATACGTATATCTGTGTATCTTTAAACTGCTTTGTTGGATTTTCAGCACTAGAATCTCTCCATAAGTGTCATGTACTATGAATGACACTTATTTTGCCAACGATTATCTGGATATCTTGTTTCGTCCAGGTATCCTGCAGTCAACAGGATCAGCTGCATTAACAGCTGGGTTCTTTCCTCCTCCCCTCCAGAATCGTGTCAACTAAGGTATTAACATTTGTTGCAATTTTTATATGATAGTCTGCCAAACCTATCAAGATTTTTCTGAGAACAGATCAAATATCTTAAAACGCAAGTTAAATGAGAAATTTGATTATCTGTTTTCTCCCTGAAAAGTCATAAGCAGCTGAGTACAAGATAAGTTTCTCTCCATGATATATGACAGAAATACAGAAGTTTAGAGTAATAAAAGATGAAAGTGTGCCAAATGTTTAGCCATTTCAGAGCTGATATCTACACAGTCCCAAATAGGTGGAAGCATTTTGCTGGTTTTTCTATGTATTTCACTGCTTCAGGGCCAGTGATTACCTGGGGTCCTGAACTTCCTGTGTACTGCTTACTGGCCTGGATCCATCATTTTGTACCATGACCAGAGGCAAGGGAATTGGAAGATGGTGGACAGGACTAGGGAGTGAGGTATGCAGTGGACTTAGATGCCTGATAGGGATAAGAATTTCTCCAGATATGGATTAGCAGAATTTGTATCAGAAAAAATTGAGGGGCCCACTGCAACTCTTGACTGGAGACTCCACTGGAGAAGTGGAGTTTGCCTCAAACTGCCAGGCACTCCACCAGGGGTGTAAGAAGGAGTATAGTTCTTCCTCAAGGAAATGAAGAATGCTGAAAATAGAAATTTAGTGCATTGTCAAACTCTTACTTAAAGTCTGGGACTTACTGATTCCTGAAGTGTGACATGCAGGGGACCAGCAGTTCTACCAAAACTGACCTTGATTGCTACTGGAATATCTTAGTGATATCTAGGAAGAGGAAATGACCTTGAACTAAGCACATCAAACCGATGTATTTGTGTTGTTTCACTTCCTAGAAATTCACTGGGAATTCTGGAGGCAACTCAGTAGTTTCCTTTTCACAGCTCATGTGCTATCATCTCTGTGGGTAAAGCCAGAGACAGGCAGAGCATGGAGTGGCTGAGTCCTGCATTCTCCTGCATTGCCTCTCCATAAGGCTCAGGAGAAGGTGGTGAGGCTGTTCCTTAAAATCCAGCCCCAGCACAGGTAGCAGACGTGGCTGAGGCTGTTAGCAGCAGAAACTGCATTGTGTACAATGGTATGGAGATGACAGGACTGCCTTAGCCTGCCACAGGCCACGGCATGAGGCATCAGTGCTCACTCCCTCTACTTCAGCGGCTCCATTGCTCAGTGGGATGCTGTGGCATTGGCACACGTATATCCTCAGACCAATGTTGCAGCAAGGGAAATGAAAAATTTCAGTGCTCTGGCACTGGAATCATACAGCAAAGCTGCAGCTGCCCCTAGCCATGCACAGCCATAAAGAAGAAGATTCACTCATTTCAAAGCTCTTCTACAGCCCTATAGGGAATACAAAGAAACACAGATAAAATGTGCTTCCTCTTTCTCTCTTGCTGGGGCTGAGCAGATTGTCTCAGCAGTGTTTCCTACGTTTGCCATGAAGAAAGAAAATTATCAGGATTAGGAAGTGAGTCATGATCACCTGGCATCACTGAGTATAGCCATTCTAGTGCAATGCAGTGCACTACAGCATACACAAAACAACAAAGAAAACACCATGACTGAAAACAATTCCTTAGAGCAAACAGTCCAACATCATTATGTAATAGAAAGAAACCTGTGTCAACGTTGCAACTGCCTCCCACACCTAAAAGCCTAAAGACTGTATGTACCTAAGCAACCTCTTGGGACTGTTCTTGTTCTTATCCAGAAATCAAGTGCGACAGAAACAGAAGTGAGAGCTTCAAGTAACAAATTATTGCAATCTCATTGGTGTTATGCTTGGAAACCTATCAGGGAACTTTTAGGATCCATTGGTTTGCTACTATCTACAATAACTGTTTGTGTTCTTTTTGGCTGCTACTGCTGAAAACAGGAAAACCTCTGCAGGATCACCATTCTATATTCTCCACCTACTAGCAAAAGTCTGCAACAGTGATTCCTTTATTCTCAGTTAATCTTTCCCAGTTTTCTTATTTTGCTTGCTTTTCACTTGAACTGCACATCAAAAGGAAACATAATGAACTATAACAGAGCTATAAAATGTATTAATAAAATCCCCCACATGATAAATGGATATATTATGCAAGAGAAACTTACATCATTCTCCTGCACATCAGTCACTGTATGATGAGGATCAGGATAGTACTTCAAAAACTGGGCTACATAGGTCATGACAGACTTTTCATCTGGCTTGTCAACATCCACATCTAGACAAGTATAGAACAGAGTAAATTAATTTTTAGCTGCATGGCAAAAAATGCTGCTTAAATGTCTAAACATTATGAATTAGCACATCTGATTTAACCCATGTGAGTAGTTCAAACTTTTTTCAACAATGCATGAGGTACCTTCTGGATCAAGTAGCCTTGGAATTCCTAGTTCTGCTTCTGCGAGTGTGAAGGCTTCTTCCAGGTTTTCTTTATTTGATCTTTCCCTCACTTTCTCCATGTCCACTAAATCTGGGCGGATGGCGTGAATAACAGAATGAAACGCAACACCACTCCTCCAACTTTGTCCAAAATCTTTGATTTCGATTCCAACTTGCCTAGAGAATATGAAAGAAAAAAAAAGTGATTTGTAACAATATCAAGACTAGATGAAACTGGGGAGGAGATAGGATGTTTCACTCGGAGGCTACACATCATTAAATCAAAACCACCTCTTGGTTCCTGCAGTGCTAATCAGGTCAACTACAGCTCCATCCATCCACTGCATAAATTTATTTCCGCCTATGAATATCCAAGAGGCTTTTCTCATATGCATACTATATTTGTCTCCAGTGGGCTTTCTAATGGCAATTAGCAAATGGTATTTCGAACAAATGACACGTGCTAAAGTTCTTATGGTTCTCGTATGACACACACAGATGGTGGATGTATGCAGCTACATTCACTATTTTCTCCCTAAATATAAAGCACTACATATCTCTCTCTATTATAACTACTGCAGTTCAGTTAGGTACATCAGTATCATAACAAAAACGAAAGTAGCCTGCATTAATCTATTATCTTTTAAAATGAAAACACAAACTGCAAAATCACTGCTATTCATGTGAAAATGTAATACACAGATTTCTTTATATTCTTATCAAAAGCATGAGAGATACTATAATTTCATACACCTAGAACACTTACATGTTCACTAAAAAATAAAAACAAATGTTCAAGAAACAGCAGTATACAATGAGAAAGTAATTAGAACTGAATCACACTTCTGACTGCTTATTTTAAAAATCATTCTGAATGGTATGGTGGTGCACAGCCTACAAGACTGCTTTTTACTTTGGGTATGCAACCTTTCTTTAAGGACACAGACACTAAGATCGTCTTGCCATTAGGAGGTTCAGAGCAATAGTAACTCTGAATGAAGACTTCATTCAAAGCTCACAGTGAGCAGTGAAAGAGCACTTTCACTGACTCTAATGAGCCAGCTCTTCCAAATTATAATGCGAACCAGGGGCTAGGCAATGTGTGCCGTCCTTCCTCTCAGCTTCTTTCAACACATTTCTCCTACTCTTCCCCATAATGTTGAGTTTCATTTATGAACCTCCGTGTTTGTATTTTCTTTGTTTACCTGTCTGGAAATTGCAGCTGACCACTTTCAATCGCCTGTCTCTTACTGACAAACAGTGTAATAGAGAGAGTGCCAAATTAGACTGTACTGCACTATAAACTGTACTATAAACTACTGTATTCTACTTTTTTATGGGAGAATTGGAAAAACTCTGTATCTTTACAATTATATTTCTTTTCTCTGAGGCACCATTCCATAAGTAACCATTTCACCTCCACATTCTGCACATGATTGATCTCTTCAAATAACAGAGATTCCTTAATTTGAACAAATAAATAAACTTTATTCTTCTACATCTTTGATTTTTGTTTTCTTATTGTGGAAACCATCGGACTACTATCATACCTTTGATCTAATTTCTGCTTTTTTCATGTCTTTTTGGAAGCAGAGTAAATGTGGGATAATTACACCAAATAAAGGAGAAGATTCTTTAACAAGAGACAGCAAGAAATAGCTCCAAAAAAACTGAGATTAAAAAGAATTAAAATTCAGGGCAAATTTTGTAGTAATATGTCTTTTGTATCACAGAACTGCAGAAGGATACTCACAATTTTTCATCACATGCCTTTCAACAGCAAGTGCCAAAATTTAGTGCTCACACAAGCTCTGTCACTGAGGAATGCTAAGTCAGTGTGGGACTTGCATTGTCACATCTAGTGTTTTGGCAGCAGGACTCGTACATTGTCATTCAGACATCTAATTCCCCTTCCAGTTCCCCATTCTGTCAAAGATAATTCCTTTCATTATTCAGAGACTATAAAATGTGATTGCTTGCAAAATTAATGCAAGCTCTTATTTATTACTTGCTTCTTATATGGTGGTAACATTTAGCAGCCTTGGTTCACAAAAAGAACATGATCACAGGGAGGTGCTATATAAATACACAGCAAAAGGACAATCCCTGACCAAGAGATTTTAGAATCTGAAGTAAATTTTACCCTTAAGATACAAATTCAGTTAATTTGTAGGTTACTTACTTGGCTGCTGTGTACTGTATCCATTTTAACAAAGCCTTCTTGGCACTTCCTTGGATCTTGGTTACCACCTTCCGTTTGCTTGGGGGACTCGCAGTTTCTGAACTGACAACACTCTCCACAGAAGAAGCGCTGCTTGACAACGACTGCAGCTGTGGGAGGTTGCTGGTAAGCTCTTCAATCTGTGGGGAAGAAAACTTTTAATGTACTGTTGGTAGATAATCTTCTTCATTCTCGCCAGTTTCTTAAATAATTTCCTAATACCATTAACAAATTAAAGTTGGGCAAAAGCTATGATTAATGTGCTGCGTTTTATTTAACTGTACACTAAAGTAGCTTCAAAAATGTTAATGTATGTGCCCAGAAGATGGTCTTAATTTCAGAAATACAGGACATCTAGTAATCACTGACTTTTTTGACACCCTACAGCTAGAACAACATGCAAGTGTGTCATGTTACCTAGTATGAAAAATTATAATTTAAATAGGACACAATGGCTCACACTTATCTTGAGTTCAAATTATAAAACAATCCACTAATTTCAGAGGAGCTTCATTCATTCTAAAGAATAGAAGTGACCACGATGATCTCATCTGTGAAGTTCTTTATTTACCATTCTACTGTTTTGGCACTAATTCAATTGCAGCTTTGCTCAGAGGTACCTTGTGAAGGAATACTGAACATACTGCAGGCAAAGTGCATTGGCAGTGCTTGCCAAGGGCGTATGACAGTTATTCGCATCATGCCTTTTATAAAATGAAAATCATTAACTTGACTTCTTTAAGAACATTAAGTTGACTAACAATGTGGTTCTCAGAAGACGCTGCAAGACTCTCTGTCTATGCTGTCTACTTAAAAAAGGTTTGTCACATCACAGAATGAGTCTGCCACAATGAGAACCACAGTTAGCATGGATTTCTGCTTTCATTCAGGTTAAAATGATGTATCTGCCTGTGACAACTACAGAAAAGCTAAAAAAAAAAAATCACACAAGTAAAACTAATGCAGAGGACTAGAGTTTCAGTGACTCTGAGAAGCATTATTTTCCCCATTCATTCAATGAGCTATATATTAAAATAACAATGTTAGTATCATTCTGTCTAACTTTTCTGAAAAGGAGATCTGAACTATTGAGGCATCACACTGGTTGGTGCTTAGGATCAGCAACCTTGAGACATGAAATCTAAGTCACAAGAGAACCAAAGCCAAAGAGCTCATGAAGAAGAGTTAAAAAATCAGTTGTTTTTTAATTGTTGAGCAGTGACTCATTTTGTTAACTCATATGGACAGAATTTAGAAAGCCATTTTTCGCTCCCACCTAACTTCAGCAGAAGGCAAATGATTTTTTCTCTACAAATTCAACCCCCTCTCCATCTACAGAATTCACAGCTAAATTTTGTCCTTGCAAATATTTGTATCTCCCAATGAAATCAGCATGTCTACATGCATTGTTTGAAAATAATGACTATCTGACATCAAATGCACTGGAATTAAGACATGCAGCACAATCAACACTGAGGCTGCTAAAGGTACTTGTACCAAGAATCCACAATTCTATTTTTTTTTTTGTTGCCATGTTGTATTCTTGAGAGAATGTGGAAGAATATGCTCCAGTGATGAAGAAATTCCATTCTAGGCCCAGACTAATCTATGCCAAAGACAAGTATCTAATTTTACTCAGTGTGAAGCACCCTTACTGTCAACTGTTGCTTTATTCAGGATCAGATCCTCGGCTAATTATAAAGTGACGCAGCTATAGTGAAAGACTGGAACTACACTGGTTCATATGAAATGATGATCTGAATCATTATTTGAGCAAGCTACACTGAAGTATAAAAAACATAGTACCTGAAAATATAAAATTATGGTCCACACCAAGCCAAGCACGATAGAAGGTCTACCATCAGCAATATCAGTTGAGTTTATGTTGACAAGTTTAATCTATATGGAAAAGAAAGCATGTGTTATTACCACGTACAAGGAATGATAACAATTATGAAATGCATTTCAAATAGGTTTTATATTTTTAATGCATTCTTGCAATCAAATAACAAGCTTCTTAATTAAAAATAACTGAATTGTGTAATTTTACTTTTTAGACAAGTACAGCTATTGGTAATGAAAGATTTTTTAAGACCATTGCATGCTATAATTTGTATAAAAATATTTTAATTCAAGTATAGGATTCAAGTTTAGGACAGGGAACTGCTGGAGAGAGTCCAGCGTAGGGCTACAAAGATGATCAAGGGAGTGGAGCATCTCCCTTATGAGGAGCGGCTGAGGGAGCTGGGTCTCTTTAGTTTGCAGAAGAGGAGACTGAGGGGAGACCTCATTCATGTTTATAAATATTTAAAGGGTGAGTGTCACGAGGATGGAGCCAGGCTCTTCTTGGTGACAAACAATGATAGGACAAGGGGTAATGGGCACAAGCTGGAACACAGGAGGTTCCACTTAAATTTGAGAAGAAAATTCTTCTCAGTGAGGGTAACAGAGCACTGGAACAGGCTGCCCAGAGAGGTTGTGGAGTCTCCTTCTCTGGAGACATTCAAAACCCGCCTGGACGCCTTCCTGTGCAACCTCATCTAGGTGTTCCTGCTCCGGCAGGGGGATTGGACTAGATGATCTTTTGAGGTCCCTTCCAATCCCTAACATTCTGTGATTCTGTATAAAGAACAATAAAAATTACATAGAATCATTGTACAAACCGGAGATCCTCTGTATATGGACTAGCATGAAAAGAAAAGTGAAAAACATGATAAAAAAATAAGATTTAACTGAGTAATTATCAGCTAAATGCACTAATTTAATTTTATAATGCAAAGAAAATAAATTTTTGGTACATATTACAAGAAAATTAATAAGGAAAGCAAATTAAATACGATGTAACAGATTTTAAGTGACACAGGGATTTCTTGCTATAGTTATAATAGATCTCACATGGAAAGAGAAAAGTGAGTTTAAAAATAAACAAGAAAAAGAAAAGGGAGGGAGAAAGCATAAAAGAAAGACAAGGGAGAAAAGAATTCTCCAGTAGAGAGCCTTTGACTGTAAAGTATATTACCACCATTGATTAAGGCTCCCTTGCAAGACAAACCTTACTACAGTTCTTTTAATATAAAAGAAGAGTTGGAAAAAAAAATCAGTTGTCCAAGGTCACATGCAGTTTTTCAACAGAAGTGGGAAAAGATTCCATGACTCTTAACTCCCAAATGCTAATCTATAGTCTGAATAAAGTATCACCCTAAAATACGCTCATATGATAAAAGGCAGTAAAGGATGGGATAAAGAGTATATAATAAGAAAATTAACAGGTAGATAATGCTCAAGGAAATGGAATACAACAGGTAGTATTACAAAATTAGCATATATGTTAATACTTATTTCTTTAGCAAAACTAAGAGTCTGCCATCAATCATGATATAAATATGAAGGGCTGCTAAAGTGTTCATGCACTGCAAGCTTGTACATGGACAAAGGTTATGGAAAAACCTTGGAGAATAGTTAAAAGAAGAGCAGGAGAATTACTTTAGATGACCTCATTTGTCTCCCCAAAACAGAGGAAAGACTGCAGTTCTCTGAATCAGCAGCGGGAAACCCACTAGATAACGTCAAGAGCAAACAAAAAATTGTTGTTCAGGATTGTAAAGCTCTTTTCAGAACTAAAATGCCACAGGCTGCTTGGGAAGAAGCCGAGGAGAAATCCCTACAGGTTTTATTTCCAACCTTCTCCACCAAAAGATCCCACAAAATTCTGGGAAAACTGACGTTACTTGCTTCCTTACCAATCTATAACGAAAATTTCTATTACCTACCTAAAGAAAAATATACCATGAGTCTCATTCTCTCAGCTGGACCAACTTCAACTTTCTATAAAGCAAGGCTCCTCTCATATGTATTATAGATCAAAAGATCTACAGGGACTCAGCTAAAGCTTCTGATTAGGCTACTGTTCACAGAAGCATAGCCTACGTAGTCTAGTTATAGCTTACTTTTGTCCTATATTCCATTAAAATGGATTTAAAACTACAAAATAAACTCTTCAGAGCCACAAAAAAACACTTTAGTCCATGATGGCGTCTGTTAACTGCCAGCTGCATTTTGCAGTGTTTCGACAGTAAAAATAGGAAATTGATTAAACGTGTTATAAACTTTACTTATAGGAGAGCCCAAGGAAGAAAGAGACCCTTTCAGTACTCCACAATGCCGCATACAACCCCTCATTTCCCTTCGTTCACCTTTAGGTAGACCAGGGCCTACACGCAACTTCTGAAGAGGCATTTGTTGTCTGAACAGCATCTCCACCTCCTCTAGAGGGAGAGGGTGACAGACTGGATAGACACAGCCTTCAGGCTGGATTCAACCACCTGCTAATGCACACCAGTCTACCTAACACACTGTGTATTTCCAACTTCCTCCAGAAGAAAACCTGGCATGTTGATACACTGTACATACAAAAATAACTAAGAAAAGTCAACACAAAAATACTCAGATAGCGCAAGCAAAACCATGGTACTCCATTTCTGGTGATCTATCTTGATCCTCAGCAAGGACAGTTAACTGGGTGCACTGCTATATAATTCCTGGGATCTAAGCTGGATTATTCAAAGTTCAGGTCCTCCACTACACTGTGACATGTAGACCAGGCAAGCAGCAGGATTTTTTACTCTTCACCTCAGCCTTGTCTTAGGTTATATAGGACTCACCAGAAAGCAGCCCTCTTTGTATCTAAGCCTCCAATCTCAGGCTGCATACGATAAGGTTTGCATTTTAACAAACTATACTACATAAATTATTGAAATTATTGAAATCATGAGCTAAAGCTGAATCTTGTTTTGGGAATATACTTGTCTCTGCTTTGGTTATGCATTTTTTATTAAAAAAAGTTCTCTTATAGATTTCTTTCTACAGCCGTCTGCTAGGATTGTTTCCCATGCAAGAAAAATATAATTAGGTCAAGATGCCATAGGGTTACAGAGAGGGAAAGAATGTCAAAACAACTCCTGGTGTACAGCACTGTGGAGACATAAAATTCATCAAGTGTTACATCTGCACAGAGAACAATTGAACAAAAACAGAGAAATTAGAAGAAAAAATATTTGTAATCTAATTAATAAAACAAATACAAGTCATTACAATATAAAGAGAAAATTGAGGAAAAAAAGGTAGAAGTAGACTGCTTTTATTTGATATTCATATCTAGATCCCATTGAGCTTTTAAGTTTTCTGCCTTTGTTAAATTTATAAAATATTTTGTTTCATTTCTAAAATGTCCACAGCACTGACTTTACCAGAATCAATCCAGGCATTAGTCTGAAGACCTGCCAAGCTAATAAGGGGTCACACTGTTTTAAATTTTCATGTCTGTACTTTCAGAGAGTAGAGTTTTGCTTGTACATCCTAGTGAAATCCATAAATCTATTCTTTTAATTATAAATGAATGCCTCCACTGAACTGAGTATCTTTGTTCTTTGCTGAGAACAGCAACAGGAAAGTAGGGAACATGAGGAACTGAAGAGCACATTAAAAAAATAGGAAGGAGATGATCCAAGGTGATTCTAATAAAAAAAAAAGCTTTACCCTATGCATTGCTACACATTAGTGTGGGCTCTTGACATTTTTTACTTTACAGCAGCTTTTAGGAACTCTATAGAAATTGAAGATTGTATACATAGCTCCAATTTTGGAGAATAAGAACAACTAGGGGGATACAAATCATACATTTAAGGAAAGAAAGAAAAAAAATAAGGAAAAATAGGGAAAAAACAGGACTAAGTCCTACCAAACCTACCCGTCTTCCTTCTAGAAACTTAAGAGCTGTGCCAATGTTGGCAACCCAGTGAATTCTCTTCAGCTGACGCCCCTGCTCACAAGGCTTAAAGAGAAAAAACAGTACAAACTTCAATTAGATTTATGACAAATTGCTTCAAAAAATGAAGTTCCACATTATTATAAATACCTATGTACATGAAGTGATTTACATGTTAAAATGTCATTTTTACAGTAAAACTGTATTTTTACATATACCAACAGAGAGGACCAACAGATATAGGGGACATAAATGTGACAGTTCTATTATAAAAAAGTTATAAGATGTCTTAATAACCTCAGGATGCAAGCTGTTGCCTTCAGCCCATAAACTTTTCTCAAATCAGAGAACTGCTTTTCTTATGTAAAATAAATGACTTCTCTTTTTACACACACACACACACATTTGAGAGAAGGCAACAATCTCTAAGTAAAAAATTTGTTTGCAAAGGAGAAGTCAAGGTGGCTGTCATTTTTAAAGATCAGCCTGCATTGAAGCCATTTTACCTAGAAAATTTTTATCCATTCTCTCTAGCACCTCATCAGTGATAAAAACCCCAGCTACCACAAATCCTCATTGAACAATGAATTTTCCTGAACTTCAGATATGTAGGCTAAAAAAAAGACAGAATTCTTTGAGTTACATCAAGAACGCAACCTAGGCTTCTAATGGGCTACAATGAAATGAATTTCCCCACTGAATCTTACATTGTAATGCAAATATACAACCAGTAAAATTTAAACTTGTGTTCCTAAAGTTACAAATGGATTTAACAAAGGCTTGCTCTAGATTCTGAAGTTCCTCTAAGTATCATATTCTGCTATACATGACCTTTAAATAAACCAGACTGTATTCTGTTTCTGTGATACCTCTTGTCTTTCACTAATGAATGTAGGCAGGATACAATCCAATGAAGGCCATCGTAACAGGTGCCATCATTAAAATTCTTTCTCTGTTTTACTACTTCTATTTTGCCACAAGAGGGAGACTTTCTGTCTTACACGAATAGAAACAGATATATTTCAACAGAGCAGAAACACACTTGCAAGTATAGCTATTTTCCCATCTTACAGTAAAATCACTCTTGCTGTCTGAATTACTACCTAATTTTAGGTGTCACCTGCAATCAAAGCAGAGGTGAAATATGAAAAAAGGGGCAAAAGTGTGGCACTTGCAAATTGCCTGCATGTGAAGAAACAGGTAATGTCTGAACCCTAGAGCAAGCCAAACGATGGCCTGTTCCTCTACTCTTTCAGATGGTGCCACCCAATCTGTGAGATGCTT